TTTACCAGACACCAGAGTCCTGACCTACTGTACAAAAATACAGCTCGGGGAATGAATGTGCCTGTAATACAATGACTGTCTATTTAAGTTTGGTGACACATAAAAAATACAGATATGACAGGCCAGGCTCCTTCAAATGAGCGGGGGGTAGAAAGCTCAGGTTTTGTAACCATTGAGTTCTCTGATTATAGAGAAAAGAAGAATAGTGTGAGGGGTGGGGTGGGGGGGATAGTAGAGGAACGGATGTCAATTACAAAGACAAAATAATTTATGCAGAGTGGAGAAATGGAAAAAAAAAAAAAAGAGAGACATAATTCATTATTTTTTAATGCACATAGTTTTACACACATATATTATGGTGCACACACTCACAGAGGACTGGCCTCATTTCAAAGTGTTGGCTGCAGTGTGAGGTATTGAAGTAGCACTGTTGCATACTGGAAGGAGCTATATGTTATTTATTATGGCTCTTTATATTGAGAGACCATAAGCCAATAACAGGTTAGCTTTACTCTTCCTAGCTGATCTGTGTATTCGCTGAGATTTCAGACTGCAAGTTCATTTGTTTGTTTTTTGTTCACTCTAGCACCAGATTTACTTTATATATACAGTATATATATATATATATATATTTATTATTATTATTTATTTATTTATTTTTTAACTTTTTTATTTGTCTGGAAAAAATGTGGGTTCAGTATCAAACTTCATTCCTTTACTCGCCAAGAGCTGTGTCCAGAGGTGGAAAGCAGCCCTCTAGTTCTGTTACTTCTTATTTTCGACTGACTGGCCCTGGTCTGCTCGGCCCATCTCGTCATTGTCCAGTAACAAGTTACTGTAGCGTCCAGGCCGCCCTGAAGAAGTAGCACTGCTGAGAGGACGTATTATAACCTCTTGACTTGTAAACGCAAGACTGGTAGGTAAAAAGATGTTAATGCTAACGTTGGGTATGAAGCAGTAGCAACATTTAAAAAGGACTATGTGAATACACAAAGTGATTGCTATGTGTATGCGGTCTAGCAGGCAGTTGACATGGGGCCCCAGACCCTGAGTGGCTCTAAAAGCCTAAGATCAACTGCATATCAGATTATGTCAGATTGACGTCTGATTGTCACTAATCAGTTAGTTGCTAATTTCTTATGGAATTTGCAGCATTAGGGCGAAATATCCAAGTTGCTTAAATGTTCTATGTTTGTACTGTTTACACAGAATGGCAAGACAAAATAAAGGGCAACATTCCCGCCCTGAACAGGCTGTGTAAAAGGGGCTAAATGTATGTAAATCCTACCTCATTTGAAAGTACAGTGTGTATACACCTCCCGGTTCAGCTAACAGATACATCTTTACACAGTTCTCTCAAAATGTTCAGAACCAGGATCCAGAACACTTTATCAATGAATAAACTGTGGTTTTGGCCAAAAAAGTCTGCTTTTTTTATTTTTTATTACATGTTCATAATACCGATAGAAAAACCTAAAAGGTATTCCTCTTTAATATTGCCAGTATTGAAAACACTGGCTAATACTAGCTGATAATAGCTAGTTAGACTGGATTTGTCACCATGCATATTCATAGCCGTATGGATCTTGTTCAAGTCTACTATATTTCTGTTTTAATGACACAGTAATTACACTGTAACAGTTTGTCTGCATGTGTAATTACGCCCCCATTGTACTGTCGCAATTAGATGAATATCCACGCTTTATAACCTAAGGCGTCAAGTTGGCAAATCCAATTTCAATTTGTATGAAGCAAGCATTTTGCCTGCTTGTTTGAGCCACGGTAAAGACCAGGGATATGCAGGCTAATCCTCACCATGTTAAAATGCTGTTCCTCTTAAAGAAAAAAAAATGTAGACATGGGGGATTCGCTGGAGAGAAAGAGAGAGAGAGAGAGAGAAAGAGAGAGCCAGAGGGAGTGTATAGAGTCTTTTACAGCCCGGAGCCAAGAGGTGGGAGTGAGGTTTAGGGGTAGTGGGAAGGTTGTGGAAGTGCATGTAAGGAGGAATTCTGCTGCTTTAGGCCTTACAAGTGTGCAGCAAAGCCTATTTTTTACACATTCAGCTACAATTTGCAGAATGGGGGAGACGCTCTCGTGCAAAATGAGGATTTTTAATGGTGGGTTACGGCATGTAAGAGCTGGCACAAAAAAGGCAATGCTTTCCAGCGAACTGGGCTATTTAAGATGTGATGAGCTGCGTTCCCCCCGTCAGGTCTACCTGTTGCTGAACCTTCCCAATATGCAATGTGTTTTCTCTAAACACAGCTTCTTTGAGGCATGATCATCGCAGGGAACAATAACGATGTAGTGAAGTCAGTACAAGGATAACTAAACAAAAAAAAAAAAAAGATGGTGATGGGCATAAATGTAATTACCTCTTTGTTTTCTTTAAAAAAAGAGGGAAAAAAATAAAGAATTTTACTGAATAAGAAGCTTGCTCAAGGTTAGCTGCTGAGCTTTCCTGTAAGAGGGAAGGTCTTTAAAGGACATCTCTGACAGAGGCCTTTGTTTTTCAGCACTTTTTCTTCCTCACTTCTCCCTTTTTTTCACACGTTGCTTTTAAACAAGTGCCGTCTCAAAGACAAAAGCGGCGGAGTTGACCTTCTTTCACAGTTGAGATGTTATTGTTGATTACTATAATTTAAGTTTAACTCAAAATTGCTGTGGGTAGGTGGCGGGGCAGAGGCTCACATGTAGACAGACGCATGCTTGCAGGTGCGCGCACACACACACACACACACACACACACACACACACATACAGTTAGAGAGAATTTCATGCTCTTCTTTTTTAAATGTGAGATATTAAGATAAAGACAATGGTACAGTGGCCACATCCTGTTCACAACAGAAGAGAGTGATATGCACACATACTGTAAAGCACATAACCCCCCTCCCCCCCCCTCACACACACACACATACACGCAGAAACACACACACACGCACACACACAACAAAACATGCATACAGAGGAGAAGCATGACACCTTTCTCCACATGAGACTCAGACACATTTTTTCTCACACATCAAAGCTTCTAATTTGAGAGTCCCTGAGCTCCAAATGTGAATCACATTGTGTAAGTTGTGAAGACAGACAAGTTTCACTACTTCTGAATAAAAAACAGGAAGTAGCAAAACAAGCATATTTAACATTTTTAATGTCAAATCTGTTTACTTCTCACTTTTTTTCAGAAAAAAACGTATTCCAGTTTATTCAGATCAGTGCATGCCTAATCATTTTATTCTACCCTTCTCAACAAAATCTATTTTCCAGCTTTGCCACGCTCTGTAGCAGCTAGCTACAGTTTGACATCCTGTTTTGGCACAAATCTCTGCAATAACAATATAAGGACAGCCTTTGAGATAGGACAGTGGCAGACTGACAAATAATTTGAATGGTTCCTGTGTATTACTGGGCTAAGGGTGCAACACACTACCTGTAAACGAACCATACATACAAACAAACAGTTAGGCAAAAACAGCAGGAAGGCCTTGTGGAAACCAACAGGCATTTTTTGTGCAAAGTTGCCAGCACATATCTTCATTTATTTTTCTACTTATATTTCTGTCTTTAATCCTACCCTCCTTCTCCAAAAATAATGACTAGGGGGCGAGATTTAACCACTCAACTAAATCTAATGCATTCATTTGTGCTTTGTTAGCATTTGCTGGTAAATTCTACTGGTTTTATTTGTCAATTATTATTTTAATTCACTTTTTTTTATACTGCACACTCATTGTTAATACAGTACTTCTGAAGCTGTTGAAACACCACAAGCTGTACCCATCAGATTCAAAGTGCTTGAGTCAAAAGAGACATACAGAGAGAGGGAGAGAGAGACAGATGGAGAGAGAAACTTCCAGCATTAAAATTCAGAAGATAATTACATCCGCTACACCCCCACCCTGTTGAGAAAGTGTTATGTTTAATAGTCTCTATAAAGAAAATAGGTTTTTATCTCACTCTCATTTTCATTAATTCCTAATTGGGGTGGGGGGTTGTCTGTTATTATTTCTTAGATTAAAATAAACATAGCCTATCCCATGTTCAAACCCATCACACTACACGGGCATGATAAGGACTTTATGCCTCTGTGAATAAATAAACAATTTCGTCTCCACTGGTGGAATTAAGTTGCTTACAGCCTTAAGCTAAGCCACTCTGATTTATATTTATATTTATTTATATTTTTTTCCTCATAGGACTTAAAAGCACATCCTTGCTTTTGCAAATGAAGTTCACCAATTTTTTTTGACCTGTTTTATATGTATAGCTTTAATTAGTGTCTTGTTTAGCTTAAACCGACTGATTATCGCATAGTCGTGACCTAATTACCACGCACGTACTTAACGCCAGAATAGTGCCCTGAGGAGCAAGCGAAAGTTACCTTTAAAAACTTGTGTAATCATTAGCAACGAGCCTCCCTTAATCCCACTAAACATACACTTATCTAGCCCCGGCCGGCCTGTATTTGCCGGGTAGGGAGAGGGGAGGGGGTATGGTTGTCTCCAACATGTTTATTAAAGACATTTATTAATCGCTGTGGTTAAAATGAGTTCGTCCCTACGCTCCCAGTCTTTACTCAGTGTTCCACAGGGATCTAGGCTGCTAACCTGCATGTGGATGCAGTGGTGGAGCAGGTCTCTTCCTGGATTGTGTTCTCTGGGGTCTTGTGTTTGGCTTAATGTGAATTGTGGCAGCAACACAGAAGTTTCAGGGGACAAATGTTACCATGTACAGCAATAACTTAAGTATCTAAGTTATGTAAAGAATGTGTAGTTCTGATTCTTTGAAGGGTATTTGTGTTAATTTTCATCCCCTTTAAAGAGGTGGATTTGACACACTGTTATAGGCCTAGCTGTAAAATTAAAGAGCTTCTTAGTGGAAATCGAATCACATGAATGAATGAAACATAATTCCCTAGTGTATGTCATGAAATAAAATTTAGATTCAGACCAAATAATACAAGTTGTTACCATTTATTCTGACTTTTCTCTTACCTGAAGATGGTGAGGAGGGATGTGGGCTGTCATCCTGGACACTTCCGGTCTGGGAGTGTCCTCCTCCAGCTCCGCTCTCTTCTGTCACATTGGATGAACCAGGAGTGGTCGAGCGGCTAATGGACTGGGACTCGGGGTCACTGGCTGACCCACGACGTTCATCCAGACCCTGTTGCTGGAGCACTTCCTCGATGCCTCTCCTGTCTTTGCCATGGATACGGGAGTGGACAACCATCTGATGGTAGGTTCTGAAGATACGGCCACAGTCAGGGCACTCTGAAGGCTTCTCCTTTAGACCGGAGAGGCTGGAGAGGCTGTAGTCAATGTTTGGGCTTCCCAAGCCAGCCAGGGCTCCAGGAGCCTCAGAACTACCATGGTGAGACATTAAGTCACGATGACTGTCAAAGCCTCTTCCATCCTCCTTCATGGACATCATGGCTCCACTAGAGGCCTTGGATCCCTGCAAGGCCTCTGAGAGCTGCTTCTGCTTGGAGCTATCATTGGAAGAAATCAAGGAGTAGTCTTGTTTATCCTTTGAGAAAGTAGCCAAGGCCCCAGCACCACCCATATCATCTTCTTGCCCTGGGGGTATGTGGTGCTGGTGCTGCTGCTGCTGCTGCTCCTTAGGCATGAAGGCCCTGTCCATAGCCATGCCACGAGCCATTATCTGCCAGGCTTGATAGCTACTGAGGGAATCCATCTCTGCCACTTTCGCAGCTGCCTGGAGGCGCTCCATGCAGCTCGACTTGAGTGGTGGCACAAGGTTTAGACAACCCAGGAGTGAGCGCTTCTCGTTTTCACCCAGCCCATGGCCCATACCTCCTGCCATTGGCCCCAGCAGCTTCCCTAACATCTCTTTTTCCTTCATGGCTATCCCCGCTTTAGCCAACATCTGGTGCTGCTCACTCAGGCCCTGTTTGTCTGGAGAAAGGAAGCCTCCCTGAAGACAGGAGATGTAGCGTGAGTAAAGGTTAGCATGAGCTTCCTGAGCCAGATTGCTCATGCTATTGACGGCAGCAATGTCCTGCTCACTGGGCTGGGGAGGCTTGCTCTTGATGGCCAGCTTGTTGAGATGTACCTTCATATGGTTCTTCAGGAACCAGGGTTCCTTGAAACGACGGCCACAGATTTGGCAACAGTGTTCAAAGGAGTCCTTGTGCTTGCGCATGTGACCCTTCAGGAACCAAGCTTGGCTGAACACCTGGCCGCACACATCGCAGCGGAACTCGGTGGCCATCTGCATGCCGCCAGAACCACCGCCACCCTGGCCCTGCGTGGTCTCGGCTGTGATGTGGGCTTTTTCCACGTGACTTATCAGCTCCTCTTCGTGGGAGGCAGCAAACTCACACAGAGTACATTTGTAGGGCTTGTGGAGAATGCGAATGTGGCGGTCCAGCTCCTCTCGCTTCTTGAACTTCCCTTTGCAGAAGGTACAGCGGAAGCCTGTAGTTGGGTTCAGGGACTGTTCATCCTGGGTGCCAGCTGGCTTGGGTGAAGAAGAAGGCTGGGAAACTGTGTCTGGAGTGGCGAGGCCAGAGGGAGGAAGGAGGCCACAAGCTGAGCCTAGCTGCTGCTGCTGGGTGTTAGAGCTGTTATTGAGACCCAGATGGGGTGTTTGAGCTGTCTGGAGGAGACTGCCGCTCCCTCTCATCTGCTTGTCCCTCAGGATGGCCCTCTCCTCCAGCTCATGCAGCAGCCTGTTCTCCTCTCGGACACGGCCACGGCCCTTACCGAGATTACCCAGTTTATGGGTGCGGAGGTGGATCTTCAAGTTGCCCTTTTGAGCAGCTCGGTGGTCACAGTAGGGGCACTTGAAGGGCTTCTCTCCTGTGTGTGTGCGCATGTGCAGCGACAAGATGCTGTTGAAACGGAAGCGCTTGCCACATAATGGACAGGGATACTTCCTATTCTTGCGGGCGTCATCTTCAATATCATTCATCTGGGACATGATGCCCAAGTTCTGGCCATTGAGAAACTGCTGCAGGTCAACTCGTCCGTTTAGCCCACTTAGCGCCCCTGCGTCAATGTCTCGGTTGAGCTGATTGGCGAGCAAGGCCATCTGACTGCTGATAGGTTGACTAGCCAGGGCTGCGTGATGGGTCTTCTCGTCTAAAGGCGTGGCTGCTTTCTCTTCAGGGATCTGTTGTGGGCGGTGTAGGTCAGGAAAGGCGTGTCCTAGCTGGGCAGTTAGCTGGTGAAGCTTTTGACTTATGGGGTAGCGGCCATTCAAGACTGCACTGCTCAGATGGGCATCAGCATCAGGCACCGCTGATGACACACCAAGACACAAACTAGAGTCCTCCATCCTGTAAAACAAGACAGAAAAGGAAGTACCACATTAAAAATGATAGGATTGCAGAACTAGAAATATTTCAAAACCAATGCCAATGGTGGGTGCCAATGCCGTGTATGTCCAACCACATGGTCAGAATTATTGTGCTACTTCATTTAGGGAACCAACACCTGTCCTGAAATAAATGTTTTTGTCTTTGACGCAAAGAGCACCGCATGAATTGTCAGCACCAAGGGCCTGGAAAAAGCTGTGACTCCATAGAAGTAGAACTTTTTCAAAATGTAACACCATTTTGGATGGAATAATTACTCTGTAAACACAGTCAGCAGTGTATAATTAAACTACTTGTGCCCATCCTATCAGAATTCTTCCAATTACATGCCTTAATGAAATGGAGCAACGGCATTGTCAGGAAGCCACCGCAATACTACAATTATGATATTAACAATAGCACTTAAAACCAAGGGGTTACTCCAGTAAACACAACACTCTTATCTTGGTGCAATGACACTTGTCTTGGTGCAATATTCCATTAAAGAACCACACTACATTTGATCTGAATCACTTTGCTTTCCTTTTGCTTTTTTCTATTCCCCCAAATTCTCTCTCTGTCTGTCCTCTTATTCTAAAACTCTTTTACAGTTTCCAGGGTGGAGAAAACACTGGTTTCTATTTCGAACGAAAAAAAAAAAGATAAGCACACCCTCCAGTCTCAGAGGAATAAGCAGGTAGCACTTTGTTGTGTTCTTACCTACTGCATGATACATGCCGATTGAAATATATCATGACTTTCTGAACATGCTGTATTATCACTGTAAGTGTTTTCATTTCATATGTACAACATCAGTGAATAAATAATATAAAAAAAGAATAACACTGATTTTAATGCAGATCCATCTGCTCTCCAGATGGTGAGGTATAAACATCTATCTACACACTTCCTCTGGCTGCTGGCAGGGGTCAAACCCTCAGAAACAATAACCATGGTTCTGCTTTGGTCAACAAAATATTGTATAATATCTCATTACACTGATTAGTATGCTGCCTGGTAACAGTGGCAGCCACTGTGCTGTTACACATTATTGTAATCATCAAAAAAGCCTTTCATGAAGAGGCGATGTAAAGTGCTGGCATTAGGTGAGTTCACTTTTAAGAGAAAGTGGTATCATTTTAGACGGCGTATGGACCCAATCTGGCAGCAATGGGGCACACCCACATTAAATATGTTCACACATGTTCAGTAGACACTTTACAGGCATGAAGGGCAACTAAGGTTTCTGCCAGACTCTGTCTTTCTGTTTCCCTCTCTCCACCTACAGTATGTTTCTACAGCATGGAGGACTCCGCATTGTGCCAGGCTCATTTGTTTTCTCATTCATTTGAATTTTTTTCTCTCTCTTTCCTCTCTCTCTCTCTCATCAGTAGGAGGTTAGTAGACATAGGGAGTGCCTGTTCTTTTAGACACTGGCCCCTCCAACACACTGTTGATGGTTGGATTCTTATCTTGAGGACATGAATTAGAGACTGTGACCAGCTTCCACTTGTGTTTAAAGGAATGTGACACTTGTGGGCTTGCCTTTTGAATTCTCCCCACAAGTATCATAAAGCAATTCTACTGAATTCATCAAGAATATAATGGCCATGCTATGTTCTGCAGGCTTACATCTCACAGCGAGATGTGCTCCTGTCAAAGCCTACTTAAATCTCTGACAGATCTTATGATTGTGTTTCTCAACTGAGAAATAAAGCATTTTGATAAAAAAAAGTTCATATTTAAAAAAAAAAAAAAGTAATACAGTTGAAGGGAATAAAACTGCCCATAGTAAAAAAAAAAAAATTAAAAATTAATAGAAAACAGGCCTTTTTCAGGGATTTAAACATGGGTTAACTTCTAGCTTTCCTTCAGCAGTGGAAGTAAATGAAGCCTTGAAAGTTAATGCAAACAAGTCTTAGAGGCTGATGAGTGACAAACCCTCTGTTTGTACAAAGGAAATGCTGGAACAAACTGCGTTACTACACTCTCTGATGAATGATTAAAGTTCCCATATTTTACACTTTTACAGTTTTATTTGATGTTTATACATCAACATTTATACACATTGGTTTCAAGTACCAAAAACTAAGGTTTACACCTCCTCTCTCAATCAGAAGAGAGGAGGTTCTGAGCCTCTCTTCTGATTGGCTGACTGTTTTCTGAGTGATCCAATAAAAATATATCAGATTTCAGGTAAACACTCAGAGAAACCAAATCCTGCCAGGTTGGATGGTGGGTCCAGGTGGGCAGGGCTTGGGGCATGGCTGAGAGCAGTGACTGCTTTGTTGTGACATCACAAAGTACAGTTACAGAAGTCCTGACGGCTGGTTTTAAGGCTCAGTTTCTGAATACAGGCTGTGTGCATTTCTCTGTGGACTGAGGCTTTGATACTTTCACAGTATTAATATAGAACCTAGACCTGATCTATAATCAAATAACACATGGACATCTACCTTTATACAGTATGGGACCTTTAAGATAATACTGAACTGCAGGAAGAGGTTCTTTATATTGTTATCAGAATGGTTAGAAAAAAGCAAGTAACAAATGAAGACGGACTGGTTGATCAAGGCTTCATCCTACAGCAAGATAATGACCCAAAACATTAGAGAAACAGAACAAGCTTCACATGGTTAAGACCAGCACAGTTTAAAGATGAACTACACTGAAGGTAAAAGCAAAGAAATCTACAAGTGCAACACATTGGTGGGGGAACTTGTGCAACAGTTTTGGGACCAACCTTCCGAACAATGTTTCATTTCCATTGTAGAAAGAAATAACGTCACAAGTGTGTTCAGCTGTATGAGTCAAAAATGTCTAGATTATTCGTAGAATTTCAGATTTCTTTTTTCTCTGTTCTTAAAGACATCTTTAATCATCTACGTCCTTAATTTAAACTGAGACATTACACTATGTAAATGTCAAATATATATATATATATATATATATATATATATATATAGTATGTGTATGAGTGTATATATATACACATACTGGAGGGTATATGTGTACATTTATTATGAGAATAATATTGGGAAAGAATTGCAGGGAAAGATAAAACTTTGTTAGACTGCTTTAAATGACTTAGGTTTTAAATTGTATTTATGTGACACCCCAGCTTCCATCACCAGGCGTGCTTATATCGGCAAAGACCTTATTTGAATGGGCCTTTTTTACAGAGACGGCTGCCTTTTGGAATAGAAATCTGTGATTTAAACTAGGCTGATGAGCTGTTGCTCATTTGGGGAGATAGCAGCTTGCCCTTTTCTTCAATTTGATTTCTGCCTTTATCTTTAACATATAACAAAGGCAGATAGACAATGGAATAATGTGAAATGAACTGACGAATCCAGTTTGTGTTTTTTATAAACGTATCCTGGCTGACGAGCGTATGCAAATGAGGCACATTAATATGCTTGCTTTGCTCCCGAGTCATTTTATATTTTTTCCCCTGATTAAAAAGGACATTTCTTATGTGACATCCCCCCTCTGCTCATATCAACACACACATGCAAGGGAATTTGAGGGTGGTGTAAAAGCAGGAGCACACACACACACACACACACACACACACACACGCACCCACGCACCCACGCACGCACACACACAACCCCTTTGACTACAGACAACAATTCAATATGCGAATGCCCTCTAAAAGACACGGTGAGTGTGTTGCAACTCACCCAGCGCTATCAAATGACTGCACGCAGAAATCACGTCAACAACTTGCTCTATTTTGACATCGCCCTCACTGTTGCTGTTGCCAAATATCCATTGAATGTAAGGAAGAAAACAAATCTCTTCAATGATATATAAATATAAAGCTTTTAGAAGATCAAGGCTGAGGATTGTCACTCTTACCCGTTGTGTTAAGGAAAGATCTGGGGCCACTTTGTCTCTGCCACGGCTGTGTAGCCTGTGTAGACTCCATTATGAAGAAGACATCCACTGTGTGTAGCTTTACATCGCTACAGTATCTATCTGCCGTTATTTTAACCCGTATAACCTTATTATTTCCTGGCATGTACAGCAATGCTGCCTCATTAAAACTACTGGTTCCTCTGATACCTCTAAAACCACAAAGACTTCCTTTAGCATTTTCTCACGATGGTTCAGTTGTTGTCTTTATAGTTTGTGGTTTAATATTCAGCAAAGCACCACGTGCACCCGTAAACACTCGAAAATCTGCCACACATTCACACACGTATACACACACACACACACACACACACACAGACACACACAGACACACACAGACACACACACGCAACACTGATGTCACTCTGCTTCTCTTAATGCATTTTTCTTCTCTGCTCCTTTTCTCTTCAAGCCTCAGCTTAATTATAAGTGGTATCTGTAATACAATGGAAGTGTATTTCAGCATTTGAATGTGCTCAGTTCATTTCTGTCATTATCAACAGTAGCGAGCATCATAAATGCATATGGGATTTTCTTTTTGTGCTCCTCTCTAATTGTAACCATATAAATTATGGAAGTATATGAAAAGCTGTTTCAATATTAGAAAGAGATACCTATTATAAATTCAAATTAAAGTCAACAATTTCAAACAAAAAATTCTGAATTCACAAGGCCTCGAGTTTTGTCATAAAACTTTCCTCTGGCATTTAAGACAAGATGTGTGGGGAAGGGGGGACTACAGGATCGAAAAGCCATTAGTTGGACTTTACTTTGTTATTTTGGCATGTATCGACACCGAAGCTATCGATTAATCACAATGCAATACCTCATTAAGTCCTAATGAACAAACTCATTGCGTTAAACAAATCAATCATTATTAACAATGTGTTGAATTCCATCATATTTGCACCAAATCATTAATGAGACGACTGCGTTGCTACAGCAATCTGATGTTGAAGGGAAATTGTGGATGTTTACCATATGTTACATGTACTGAGAGCTGCAGGTTGTTTGGAGCCATTCAAAAGCTGCAAATATGCTTTCAAAGTACGAACAGAGC